CGACGATAGACAACTGCAACAAGTGACTAGAGAGCTGCAAGCGGAAGCCGAAACTACTACAATCGGCAACCTGTTGTGGTACGAGGCAGTGGATGACGAGGACGAGTTCGTAGCCGCACGTGGCTGGCCGGACAACCAGCGGTACTGATTGCCGGCAGTTGGCGGGACGAGATGGGGGTCACCAGCTTCATGAGTCTCCGACCGCGGGCTAGAACGCGACGTTGTGCGATGCGGTTTCGGTTCCCACCTCGTGCGGGGAAAGTGTGCGTGACGCATGGATGACAAGGGCAGCACATCCAACGGCGCGTGAGGCAACTGGTACGTGGCTCGGGCCGGTCGACCGGCGCATAGCATCGGTTAATTTTTCTCATTTATACATGGGGCGTATAAGAAGTGAACATTCGGATTCCTCCGCCTAAACAAGGACGTAGATTGAAACAATGAAAAAGGCAGCTTCGTCGAGCGTTGGAGACGGCGATGACGCTGAGATGACTCACGATCGAGCTGGGCTCTAAATCCAGAGTGCGTTGTTGACGGATTAGATATCCCATCCAGTGGAGTCGTCATTCGGGTTTTGGAGATAAGATGACATGTAAAGGGTAATCACCTCCGCAAACCGACGGCACCGAACGTGCCCGTGCGTGCGTTGGATGGTTGACAAAAGCTACGGGACGCGCGCAGGCCGGCACGGCGGAACGTGGTCATGTGTTGGTTGGGCGCCTAAAGGGCAAGGGCCGGGACACCGACGATTCTTCCATGATCTTCTTGAGCTTGGAGCCTGGTGGTGGTTAGCGGTGCTTTGACAGCGACGCAGCCGCATCGGCACCGGTGGCGTCCCCCACCGGGATCAACCATGTTTGGGCCGTTCCTCTGCCGCGGATGGTCCCCAATATTCGAAAGGTGCAAACCATGAAGTATCAACCATCGTGCGCATGTCTCGAACTGACCATCCCCTTATATTACTAAGGCCAACTCCACCGCACGATCCCAAACGGACGTCCGTTCCGTCCGAATTTCGTCCGTTTGAGATGACAATGAGGACGAGAACGTCATGCGTGTCCTGCTTATGTTCGAGGCGCCCACCACGGCAGAGCGACCCAAAAACGTCCGCCCCGCCGCCCCCGGAATCTCGTCGCCGCGCCGCGCTCGCCGAGCCCGCCCGCCTGCGTCGCCCCGCTTCCCCTCCCTCCCCCGACCACCGCTCCCCACGGTGCCGCCCAGCCGCTCGTGGCCCCGCCCACGCTGCACGAGCTGGAGCGCGTGCGCCGCGTCGTAGGTGGAAGTGCAGCGGCAAGTGCGCACGCCCGTCGTGCCCGCTGGGCAGCAGCAGCCGGGCAAGGCTGTACGCGCCCGCAGCTCGCCCGCCGCCTGGCACGCCCACGGCTCGCACGCTTCGCCCCGCGTCGCCTTGCCACGCCCTGACGCCGCGCCCGTGCTCGCGCACTCGTTCGTGCTCCCGCGTCCACCACGCCCTAGCCTCGCCCCCTGCCCACGCCCGAGCTCGCCACGCCTGGCTTGCGCCTGCTCCGGCCCGCATGGCCACGCCCGCAGTGCCGGCCCGCCTCCCGTGCTCGCCCATGCCTCGCTCTCTTGCCGGGGCCACGCCCGTCC